GTAATAAGTTTATTCCCCACTGGATCATAAAATTTGTAGCAAAACTAATCTTGTCCATACCCAATAAATACACATTGTCGAGTCTTCATGTCCAATTTAGACTTTTCATCTTTAGGGATGTGTACAAATGCTTAAAGCCTCACCCTAAAAAGATGTAAACAAACCTGCTTCGGACAACAAGCATCTTACTCTCTCGACTAGTATTCTATTCATCCTTTCAGCAAGTTCATTCAACTGAGGAGTCTTTGCTGGAGTCTTTTGATGTCGAATGCCTTCCTTCTTACAACACTCATCAAAAGGACGAATGTACTCTCCACCATTATCTGTTCTGATGCATCTCAACTTCTTCCCAGTTTGCATCTCAACCAAGGCCTGAAATTGCTTAAAGACATCAAGCACTTGAGCTTTGGTCTTTAATGTGTAAGCCCACGTCTTTCTTGAATGATCATCTGCAAAAGTTACAAAATAGAGAGTACCAACAAGATTTTTTGTTCTCATAGTGCCGCAAACATCAGAATAAATTAAGTCAAGTGTACCTGACGCCCTTGAAGGAGTTGATGCCTTGAAAGCCACTCTAGTTTGCTTTCTCGCCAAAGCAGTGAATACACTTATTCAAAGATGGATTTTTCAAGTCAGGAATGAGCTTTTCTTTCTCTAAGATTTTCAATCCTTTCTCACTAATGTGGCTGAGTCTGTTGTGCCATAGCTCAATTCTTCCTTCATTCACGATCGCATTTATAGAGCGATCAAGTAGCTTTTCTTGCATCAAGTATAACGAGGAATACTTTTTGCCTCTAGCAATAACCAAAGAACCCCTTGTGAGCTTCCACTGACCATTAGAGAACAAGTTACAAAAATCTTCATCATCATGTTTTCCAATGGATATCAAGTTCAATTGAAGACCAGGCACATGCTTAACATTCTTCAAAACCAATGCAATACCATTAAATAGTCTGAAAACATACATCTCCAACACCAATAGCTTTAGCCAAGCCATCATCACCTATCCTAATGTTTCCAAAGTCACCCGACGTATAGGATGTGAACATATCTCTCCGTGATGTGGCATGTATAGATGCACCACTATCAATCACCCAACTACTCTCATGGTATGCAAGATTGACAACTTCATAATCACGGAGGATAAGAAAATCACCTCTTGCAGCAGATACTCTATCATCATCCTTTCCATCTTCATGCATCTTTTCTTTCCTTTATCCTTTTTGCCATCTTGCTTTGGTTTTCTGTAGTACTTCATTATGTGCCAGGAGTTCCACAATTCCAACACTCAATCTTGCTATATCTAGTTGATTTACTTATGTCTTTTGGTTTGCCTCTTGGACCTCTACTTTTGGTTCTCCCCCTTCTTTCGGTGAACCAAACCTCTGACTGATGAGAGTCTTGCGATTTTCTTCTCGTTTCCTCATTTAACACGCCGCCCATAACCAAGTCCATTGTAATGGTACCATCAGGGGCTGAATTTTACAAAGATGTCCTAAAAGTCTCCCACGAATCCGGCAATGTGCCAAACAACCATAATCCTTGTACTTCATCTTCAAACTTAATATTCATTCCTGCCAATTGGTTAATGATGCCTTGAAATGAATTCAAGTGATCAGTCATAGGGGTGCCGTCTCTGTATTTCAGATTCATCAACTGCTTGATCAGGAATAATTTATTATTCCCAGTTTTCCTTGCATATGATTGCTCCAATTTCTCCCATCGTGACCCTGCATTTGTTTCTCCGGTAACATGGTTCAAAACATTATCATCCACCCACTGCCTGATATAACCACATACTTGCCGATGCGTGATATTCCATTCGGCATCACTTTTATCCTCAGGCTTGTCGGTTTCGAAAATTGGTCGATAGAAATCTTTCACATATAGAAGATCGTCCATCTTTCCCTTTCATACGTGATAGTTTGAACCATTAAGATTCACCATTCTACTTGTATTTGTTTCCATACTCACCACAAGAAATAAAACAGAAACCTTGCTTTGATACCCGTTTGATGGGAAAAATGCTCCTAAAGTATGAATTATCCCCCTTGTGTGAATCTAGTAGGAAACAATAACAACAGAATAATCATGTCGTAAAAGTAATGCAACCAATCAACAAGGACACAAACAATTTTACGTGAAAAACCTCCTCGATGTGAGGAGTAAAAACCACGGGACCGAAGTCCACAAAATCTCCACTATAATGAAAAGGGGTACAAATCGTTCAACACAAAATCAACCCAAGTTCCAACTCAAAAGATATAACACCAATCTTGTCAACGAATATATGAGTAAAATAGAAAACTTACAAACAGTAACCTTCTGTACAGACCCAAATACTCGATGATCCAAATGTCTGATCATGATCTCCACCGTTCATAATTTACTCCACGATGTCCCCGCAATCATACTCAAATTCCAGCCTGATCCAACGGTTAGATCTTCCAATTCGATATCAACACCGAAACTAGTCCGAAAGAATCTGGGAGGGAACGGAGCTCTCTGTTCATGTCTATATCAGAACTTTTGATGTTCTTAGTCCGTTCAGAATGTAGAAATATGAGTGACAAACGTTCTGTGTAAATATTTGGACGATCTGACGATTGGATATTCGTAGTTCATCGTTTTACCGAGACTGCACACAGCGTGAGCAAAAAGGTGGGTGCACCTTTCTTTCTTAACCTCTCTCAAATCCTAATCCACTCAATATCAAATTTATACTTAGATTGAGTATTCATATGCGAAGTTACAGAAATGCCCTTCCGGATTAAGGAAAAAATAAGTCAACAAAGGCTTATGTACATCATTGCAACAAGGCTATATATTGCATATAGTTTAAGTAAGCTATGTGAGCAAGCCATTATAAGAATTTTGAGATATCTTTGTGGGACAATTGATTTTGGTCTTTGTTTTCCTAAAGGTCATTTTTGTGCTTTGAAAGGTTGGACAGCGAATTTGCATAGATTATAGAATATAGAAAGAGCACTAAATATGTTTTCTTTTTGGTTCAAGAGTCATTGTGCTCAAAGAAACTATTGAGAATTAAACTTGATTTAACAAATAAAAAAATAAAATCACCAAATTTATTGTTTCTAATGGTTGTTGGTAATCTACTAACCATCCGTTGAACAAAGTCTATTTTGTAGTTTTCTATATTTGTAGGTAGAATTAATATGGTATTGAAAGGCAGAGTTGATGTCCTATAAATAATTGTAATTTGCAAATCATTTTCATCAATCAAGTGTCTTCTCTTCTAGTTACCTGTCCTCTCCACCGAAGAAATCTTCTTGTGTTTTTTGGTTTTCTCTTAGTGTTCTTCCATCTTATTCCAACAGAAACAACCTATACTTGCACTGTCATCTACCAAAGCAGAAAATATAGCTGCAATCTCTACTGCATGTCAGCCATTATGGATCAAATGAAATATTTGGAGGCTTAGATTCAAGGCTGAATGTGGTAACTGATTTGTTCTGGAATAATACATCAGCTATGGAGCTCTCAAGGAATCCTGTTTTTCATGGCTGGAGCAATCACATTCATGTGAGATATCATTTCTTGAGAGAACTGGTTGCAAATAATGAAATTAGGATGGTACATTGTAGGACCAATGATCAAGTAGCAAATCTGGTCACTAAAGCATCAAAGGAAATTGGTTCAGATGAGGAAGTATTTGAGAGTCTTTAGTAAGTCTGAATTTTTTATGATAAACTGAAGCTTTTGGAAGTTCAATTTGAGGGAGGGAAATGTTAGGAATAAGTCTTGCAGTAGATTATTTATAAATTTATTTAGACTAATGTAGTTGTGATTTTTATTGTCTTTTGACTGACTATTAGTTTGTCCTATTTCATGCAAGTCTCTTATTATAACCATTGTGGATGAATAACAGTTCCAGAATTTTCACTCCAAAGAATTCTACTCGTGCATCTTCTGCTCTCTATTTTTCTCTGCTATCATATGCAAACACAGAAAAGTGGTATGTGATGAGGGTGTTGAGAGTTATATTCGAAGGGTATGATTTAATTGCCTTTGCGTGAATGTATTAATTGCTTTAGAGTTTCACAAGCACTTAGAGGAGGACGGACTCTTGTTAACCTGTCTTTAATTATTTGTGACTATTGCTATTCACAATTTCTGTCCCTATATTTGGCCGTCTTTTCAATTTGTGTCCATATAACATTAATTTCGTAAAAAAAATCCCTTTTTTTTACTAATCTGCGCAAAATCCAGTCTAAACGCTAATTAGAGAATATTAAGGGTAATTGAAGAACGCCGTTGACGGAGTAATCAGGTGCCACCGACGTGACCCTTCATTAGCCTGAACCGGTTCTCCTTAGACCCGGTTCTCCACTGAACCGGTTCGATTCAAACCCGGTTCGGTTCAAATCCGGTTCGGTTTAAACCGCTCCATATCTTCTCCAAACCGATCTCATTCTCTCATTCCTCAGTCCAGTCGCGAAGCTCTAGTTCGCTCGATCTTCGCCATCCTTAAACGAGCTAGATTGAAGGTAGAGTTCACTAGATCGTTCCTCCAATTTCAGAGAATGAGCTCGATGTTTTCATCCAGAACCAATTTCTCAAGAAATTTGCGGATTGTAGAGTCCCCAATCGAGGATATTCCAAAGTTGTTGTGTAGATGTGGATATGAGCTCCCATTGCGTACCTCATGGAGCACAAGCAATCCGGGTAGGAGAAACAGAGTTTGTTCTAACTATGCGGTAATTTCATTTGTGTTTTTTTTTTAAAAGAAATTATTATTATTTTTGTTCTTCATTATGGAAATATTTGATTGATTTAAATTTATAGAAAGATTGAAAGTAATGTGGTATGTTTGAATGGTAGGATGAGGAACCCACAGATAGATATAAGGAAGTGATCATTGCATTGGTGTTTAAAATTCAACGGCTCAACAATATTCAGAAGCGAAAGAATATCATCGACGTGGATGACGATGTTGTTCAAGTTGAAGTGCAAGAAAACCAACTGATGAAGAAGCTCAATATATTGGAAGAATAAGTTAAAAGGATGAAACGCTAGAACAAAAAACGTCTGCCGGTGCACGTTGGCTATGTTAAACAGCATAGCAGTTTAATATTCCTTAATATGGGGGTTATTGCCCTCATTTTTCTATTGTTCGGCTTTATGTTAATTTAATTGAAGCTATTTTTTTCCTTGGATTGGTGCGGGTTTTCGCTTTTGAACGAGCAATAGTGGTAGCCTAGAAACACAAACAGCAGACCAAACAGTTAACTTATGAAATGAAAGTTAATATAAGTAGAATACATTGTTACCTAAGTTGATGTTTTTTTCTTCCTTGGCCTAGTGCATGATCTTGTTGTTGATGGAGCATCACCAATATCCTGTAAACATTGAAACCAAAAACGACGGTTATCAAATGAAATGGTATTGAATTGAAGTTTTACAAAGCATACCATTGTGAGATTATCTGACTCCCTAGGCATTGGCTGAGAGGATGTGTGAAAGCACACTGTGTTCTGAACATCTCCTCCCATATTCTCATTTTGAGTATTTTCTAGTGGCTCACTAATAGAAGCTCGTTTTGGCCAAGTTTTGGAGTTGTGCCCAAAACTTTGACACGTTTTGCAACTGATTTTTCTAGGTACACCCTTGAGTCTATATGGAGTTTTAAATTTTGGAGTTGTGCCCAATAATCACTTCTCATTTGAATGAATTCAGAAGCCTCTTCCATCTTTTTCTTCATCATTTTCATTATTTTCGGACAAAGTGGATCATCCCATTTTTCAGCTTTCTCCCAATTCAACTGCATACTCACCATCAACAAGTTTTGAATCTTCTCTAACATGGAAATAATTGGCTTATCTCTCACTTCCATAATAAAACTGTTGAAAGACGCACACGTATTGTTAAGAAGCATGTCGCATCTAGGATACACACTAAAGTGTGACCTAGACCAATGATCTGGACTCTTATTTGCTAACCAATAAACACATCTTCTTAAACCTTTTTCATTTCCTCCATCCTTCGTTTAAACTCTGGAATTATGGTAGCTTTAACGCTGCCCATAAAAGCCTCTTCACTGCAATTCATGGATACCCATCACGTTTCATGTTTGTATGTAAATGTCTCACATAGAACCGATTCTCAGCCTGGGGCATAATGGATTCGAAAGTAGGAATCAGTCCCTTCTGCTTATCACTCATAAACTTCCAATTATGTCCATCTTCAATATCCAAATCCCTCTTCAACCGCTCCAAGAACCACAATCAACTATCTTTGTTCTCAACCTCAACCACAGTGCATGCTATAGGAAAATATTGTTGTTCGCATCAATACATACCACCGGCTTACATCTTTCAAGAAAGCCTCTCTTGCATGCAGAAAAACAAACATATATCCTTTGGAACCTTTGTAATCCAGACTCTTCATCATCTATAAGTTTCAAAGAGAGAGAAGTGTCTGGATTACATTTCTCAATCTTATTACAATAATCCCACAACAAGCCATACTGATCCACATTAGACCCGTTCAACAAGTCTATAGATTTCCTCTTAGCTCTATATGCCTTCGACATCGAGACCTTACACTTCAATGTTCTACATATTTCATCCCTAAAAGCTCCAGGATCCAACTTCAGATTCCCCTTCAACTTTTTCATAAATGTCTTCCCAATCCAGGAAGACTTAATACTTGTGTTATCATAAGTCCATCCACATTTGCTATAAACTTCATTAATGCTACGCATCTGCCATGCTTCATCACCCTGCACCTTGGACACGAGCACAAACCACCCACACCTCTGTTTCTTGCATGTAGCTCTCAACCTACTCTTGTCAATCTTTGGAAATTTCACACTCATTCCCCTCCTAAAACAATGGCTTTCAATGGCAAACTTAGCCTCAACCCTCGACTTAAACAACAACCCCAATTTAAGCTCTGGATTTTCACCACCTGTGTTTGAATTATATATTTCAAACTGGTTTGTCCCCTCCTTTTCACTTACATCACTTTCCATCCCACTATTTAACTCACTATCTGCCTCACTATCTTCTTTTTGTAAAGTGTTCAAAATATCTTGAGCAATTGTGGAATCATCCACAATAGACTTTCCTTTCATCCTATCTTCAATGTCAACCCCACTCTCTAACTCAACTTCATTATCCGAGTCACCAAAATTAGAATCATTTTCTTCCATTTCACCTTCTACACAATCACTAGCCCGAGGAACTTCACCACTTAAATCCTCTATTCCAGTAATTACATTGGATTGAGGATCTTAGCTAAGCCCGATATCCAGATGTTATAAGTATATTTCGAGTTCATAATTATCTGGAATATGTTTTGTCATCCACAACATATCCTTATCACTTTCCAAACACTTGCATTGTCTATCAAAGTTGTTACCGTACTTCATGCAAAATCTAACACTATTTGCTTCTTTATATCTCAATTTCTCTGCATATCCCCAAATTTCCAACACATTTAATTAATCCATATCAACAAAATCAAAATAGTCATGTTCTCCCCCTAAATATTCCCTACGAGACTTATGCGTCATCACCCCGCCAAAATAAATTTTCAAAGTAGCAAAAGAATCTTCATTGAACATCGCCCCTACATTTCAGTAATGCTAAGTGTTTAACATAATGTAGTATATTCATTCAAACCAATAGATCAAAAGAACATAAATCAACACCTAACCACAATCTTATTTACTGGACATAATTCAATTTCTAGGACAATATAATCTTTTTTTTTACCTCAATTTATTGAAATTAAAGCCTTTCATAGATGACGTCAAATAAATTAACCACAATCCTAACACAGAGTGAAAAAATTATAATACGTAAACCATAAGCATATTTCAAATTAAGGACTTTCAACTTACTGTATTTGGGGGTGAAATCAAGAGCGTGGTTGCTTCTACGCGCCATTGTCAACTACACACTGGAATCTACGCCTCGACGACGGAATTGAATGAACGAACTCCTGAACTAACTCCGCCTTCAATCTAGCTCAACTAGAGATGGAAATGATTGATGGGAATTAGGGTTTCGCGATTGTAAATATGGGCGGAGTATCGGTGGGGAAAATGGGGTGACGAAGATCGAAGGAACTAGGGCTCCGCAACTGGACTGAAGAATGGGAGAATGAGATTGGTTTAGAAAAGATATGAAGCGGTTTAAACCGAACCGGATTTGAACCGAACCAATTTTGAGCCGAACTGGGTTTGAATTGAACCGGTTCGGTGGAGTACCGGGTCTAAGGAAAACCGGTTCAGGCTAATGAAGGGTCACGTAGGTGGCACGTGATTACTCCATCAACGGTATTCTTCAATTACCCTTAATATTCTTCTAATTAGCGTTTAGACTAGATTTAGCGCAGATTAGTAAAAAAGAGGGACATTTTTTACAAAATTAGTGTTATAGGGACACAAATTGAAAAGACGGCCAACAAATTCTTTCAGCCCATTAATTGGTTTGTCTTATTTCTGCTCCATTGATAGGTTATAAAAATAAAAAAACAATATATATATATATACATTCCCATAGTCACCAAACCGATTTACCTAGTGCCCTTGGCGACAACCGTTGAAGAAGTGCTTGAGCAGGTCATTAAATGGAAAATGGAGGATGTATGTTACAATTTCCTTATTTTTTTCATACTCAAACTTTGCCATGCTCTACATATATTCACTTCAGTCTTTTATTAATATTTTCATGTTTTATGTGCTTGATTTAAGCAGCCACAGGGACTAAGTTCAACTAGACCGTGTAACACGAATTATTCAAAGTGTTTATGTTCTACTTTGATGGATAGATGAGGATTATGAGGTTATTTTGAAATACTGAAAATTGATGTGCCGGCCTTCATTCTTGTTTATAGTATTGGTACATTATAGTCCATATTGTTATGGTGTATGATGAACTTGTTGGCACTGCCGAAATTGGAAGTTTCCTCTTGTCGCAATGCTTTGTGCCTTTATTAGAAGTCATAACAAATGTAATCATGAAAAATATTATAGTTGTGATAATGTATAGCTTATATTTGGTTATATATTACGAGGAGTTATGCCTAAAAATATTTTGCAAAAAAAGAAAAATTAGAAATTTTGTCCTATATGTAAGTAAAAAATGATCATTTTTAGATACTTTTTTATTATTATTATTATTTCGTAATTTAGGGCAATATGTCCACAGATGGTCTTATTTTTGTCCTCTGACGTCGGAAGAAGCACTTGGCTGTCACGTACATCTAAATTGACATGTCGACACTGAAGTGGACGCAGCCTGAGCTAAAGTAGTCGATGTTGTGGGTGATAGACAATGATTTGTGATGAAATTTGTAAATAAAAATACTGTCTCGCAAATCCTCAATCACAACATTCTATGATGCTTTTTCGCCTATGATTTTCCATAGTGTTGCAAGGGATAAAATATCTAGCTACTATTAAGTTTAGCTAAAGATTAAATCATTGGCCAATTTCATCTCTAAATCATGCTACCAATTATAGTAAAATTACATTAAACTAAGCACAAATTACATTATAGCGATTCCAACCAACTACACTAAATATATTTCAACAAATTATTCATAACAAATTATAATAATTCAATTTCAAACAAATTACATTAAATCAATTTAAAACATATTAAAATCAATCCATTTCAATATATTTGAACAAAAATAAAATGTATATTAAACCAATTCTAACCTAATTACAATAATCTAATCCCAACCTATTCCAAACCAAATAAAAAAAATTAAATTTAATCTAATACCACCAATTTAAAAAAAAATTACATCAATAAATTCCAAAAAAATTATACTATTTTGTGTTTGTTTCAATTATTAAGAATTAATTAAAAGTGGAAAATTGTATAGCAATTAATCATGCTTTCTGAAAAAATAATTATGCTGTAAAATCCATAACAAACTTATTTCTAAATAATGTGTAAAAATTATTGTCTTAATTATATTTGTCAAAATTCGATTATTTTTTTCCTTTTCGGCAAATAATGTGACTAATAACTATGTGGAAAGTTTAGTTCAATTTGTCATATCAGTTTTTGTAAGAAAATATAATTAGCTATGATCATTTTAGCCGCTAAATACATTTCATTTGGCTAATACATTTTTATAGAAAATTTTATAACAAAATGGTTAGTCACGTATATTTGAAAAAATTTTCATAAATATTTATAACGGAATAATAATTTTTTGTTGAGTGAATTCATAATTTAAAAAAAAAAAATTCCAAATGATATGAAACTGTAAGACTTGCAAATGTGCAAGCTTGGGATTGTTCGTAGATAATGTGTTTTTTTGTCAAAATTTGTATAATATATTATTATTATTATTATTTTTATTATTACAAATAACATGACATTACAAGCATAATTAAAAAAAATAAAAAGAATAAACATATGACATGACATTATTGTATATTCAAATATTATATAATAATATATTATATATTTTTTCTTTCATTGAAAAATAATATTTGAAATCAAATTTATAGAATTCAATTTCATCATTACAATGAGATTGTGAAAATAATTTGCAATTAAATAATTATAAAAGTCGATCAATATATAATTTGCAATTTCATCATTACTACTTGTTACTTTAAACATATATGTATTTTTTTCTTATTTTTATAATTATTTTTAATAAAAGATGTCATGTGTCGTAACAATAGAAACCTGGCGCATTACACTTTGACACAAATTCCAAAATCCCACCCCCCTCCCAACCACTACTTTTCTGTATAAAATTGAAAAAGTTCTTGCAGACTCAGTTATTTTCTCTCTTGTTGTTCTGTTCCCAGCTGTATCTACCTTACCCTCTCTTTTCTTTTCTAGAAATTGTAAGTTTTCTTCATCATCTTATTTGATTTTCCAGTAGATTTTAGATCTTTGTTGTTTGCTTTTGAAATCACCTAATTTTTATATGTTAATTTTTTCTTTTTGTTTTTTTAGATGAAAGTAATGTAAATGTTAAAAGTTCAAATGAGAATGAGTTATTTTGATGGAGTAGACAATAAAATAAAGTATGAAAAATATATTTTATAGAGATGAATTGTACTATTTTTTATTCCAACATTGTTGAAATATGCTACAATGTGGACACTGACAGATGCTGAAAATTCAAAAGAGATCAAGAAGAAAGATGCTAAAGCTTTGTTCTTCATTCAAAAGGTTGTCAATGATGCAATTTTTCCATCTTGGATATCTGCAGCAACCAAAGCAAAAGAAGCATGGGATGATCTTAAGAATGGCTATCAAGGCACTCCAAAGGTTCTTACTATTAAATTATAGACCCTGTGTAGGAAAGTTGAAAGTTCTTTTATGAAATTTGAAAGTTCTTATACCATTTAACGATTATTTGCGCTTCTATTTTATTAACAAGAAAAAGAAAATTCGGAGATTTCAGTATGGAATGAGTCTTCTCTTTAAAAGATACCCGCCCAACAGTTGCTCTTTTCAACTTTTAGGGTAGCTTCTAATCAAGAAAACAACAAATGTGACATTGTCCAATATTTCAAAATTCACATCATTGAGTTCTATCATCATCGATTAGATCCTTGAGCTTTCGAGGAAGTTCTCGCGGCACGCCACCCAGAGCCATGAATTAATGAAAATAAATAAGGTGAACTACATATTACTTTGCGCCTTAAAGAAAGTTAATAAATTAAATGGCTGGGCTCCGGAATCCAAACTATCTACACACTTAAACGGGATCAAGCCATATGTACTTTTTAGTTAGCAAATACATGAGACTCACGTATAGAAACACCTAAGGAAACAAAAAACAAGAAAAAAAAATTAAAGGAACTGAAATGATAATGCAAAGAAATACTGTATGACCCTACCCTATCTGAACGGGAGGCTCGAGACTCCAGCAGCGTCAGCATGGAGCAAGACATTCATTTTGGTGTTTCCTTTTAGATTTTGATTTAATGAGGACATCTTAATTACAAGTTTACCATATACTGCTTAATTACAAAGCTCACATTTATATTGATGTTAGAGTATAATATAGTTTTATTGGCGATTTAATAGCTATACATTCAATGATAGAATGATCCAATATAGAAATTAAGAATTAAATATACTTGAAAAAAAGAAAACTGAACAAACACTATATATTATGATACTAATTAAAAACACAACATTCTGTTTTCTTTGCTTTCTCATGTATTCAGTCAAGAATCAAATTTACAATTGATCGACATGTTTCTGACAACAACATGGCAACCGCCAAGTCTTCTGCGCATGCTCATCCTCTTTGCCGAGGTCAAGCAGGGCATTTGTGCATTCTTTCTCAAGATGGCTTATGCCCCCTCCTTGCTCATTATTGTCTCTCTAAAACAACAAAACCAATTGATTGAATAAAATATAATGCGCGCGGACACACACATACATATATATGTGAATTTATGTGCAGACAATGAATCAAATACTTGAATATTTCGTTTTAAGTAGCAAATGATGAAGATAGCAAAGAAATCATGTTGTTTCATGTTAAGAAACACACCTAGGATTAAGTAGGCGAGTGTTGCAATTGTCTTGTTTTGCATTCTTTTTTTACTTTCTTCCTCTCTTTAGAATGTTCTTTGTTGTAGGCTTAAAGTCCTGCAAAAGAAATGAGCCATCGTAGTTGTCAATAGACCACCATAGTTAAGGTTCATTACCATGTCTTTGGCCAAGTGATAATAAGTAGAATTGGCAAAGTGTTAATAAGTAGGAATGCGTGTTCAATGAAGAGGCTGCATTGAAGTGCAGTGTTGACAATGATGGTGCCATTAAATCGGTTCCTGCATATTTTGACGAAAAAAAAAGTGATGTACAAGGTGTTAGAAATTTAGAATCCCGCACTTCTGAATGGCAGCATCAGCAGCGTCTCGAATACAACTACACAATTTAGTTCGTGAAACAGTAGCAGCGCAGAATCGTCACCATCCTCTATCCGACACAGCTGCAGTGCAGAATCATCACCGTCGACTGTCCAGAACAGCAGCAGCACTGAACTGACGCCAAGAAAACTAAAATCTGTTACAAAAATTTATGAATCATGTGAGTTTGCTTTGTTAGCGGTTGATCCTACGTCTTTT